AAATATTTAGTATTAAAAACTTTGATACCCTTGGAGAAATGAAGCCTTAAAATTTTTACTGCAATTTCACAAAATTGAAAATATTTCAAAAACGGTAAGGTTTAAGTATAATAAACCTTAATCAAATTTACCTTTATTTTAATCGTAGAAACTAAAAATGTAATAATATACAGGGTGTTCCATTTAAAAAAATACAACTTTGATATTTTTTACTTATTTGGGACACTCTGTATCTTGTAAAATTATTTTTAAATTGTACCTCTAATAGTCCTTCATCGAACCCAAAACTTACAATTTGTAAATATCTCATCGTTTAGCTACAATACTCCGTGTCGTATGTGGTGAACGACCCTGTATATTATATTTCAGAAATCTGCCTAAGACTTATCCTGTCGTGTTAAGCCACACCCAAAATTCCAAACACACGTGCTTTGATTAAAACTTGATTACGGTTTGTAGAGCTTCAGCATTTGCCATAAAGTAGCGAGCAATTTGTTACAAAACCATATAAATTATATATCACTGTAATCACAAAGCTTCAATCTATTTCCGTATTGTAACGGAATTTTAAATTATGTCTTTATTTGCGAGAAAATTTAGTCCAAACATAAGGAACATTTTGTTGATGTTTGACCATCAAAATCTTAAAAATAAAAAAGTTGTCTAAAAATGTGCTACAAACCGGATATAGTGTAATCTTTTATCTTTAATTTATTTTTTCGTTTGTGTAAAAATACCTAGCCAGTTTTACATAAAACGTTAAATGCTACTTTTTCGGACTAGGGAAATAGATCTTAAGGCTTAAATCATTTCTAAAATCGAGTAGTAAAGTACGAGGGAATCATTAAAGGATGTAGCCTCAAAGTACATTGTATTCTGTGATATAGATCGAGTACAATATTCCAAATGAACACATATATACATAATTTCCTCCTAAAATTCTTCTTTTACCTTATCAACCATTCTTTCTAACGGTGCCATTCCGTATTCCTGGAGGACCTCAGATATGGATTTGCCATTAGGAAGAAGGAGGAGGCGCATGTGCCACGTGTCGCACGTGCTCGGGATAAGAAGCGTTAAGGATAAAGAGGGAAAGCATCGGAGAAGGCCTAGACCGCGTGACGTCGAAACTTTTGCTCTTTTCCCAGTCCGTTTTGGGCCCTTTAGGCCGTTTCTCATTTTTTACTTTATCAAGGACTTTTCGACGTGAAAGAAAAATGATCGTAGAAGGGCTTAGAGAAAACTATCGTTTATATATGGAGGGTAAAATAAGAGAGAGAAAATAATTCATTATACAGGGTTGGTCACCACATACGACACGGAGTATTGTAGCTAAACGATGAGATTTTTACAGATTGTAAGTTTTGGGTTCGTTGAAGGACTATTAGAGCTACAATTTAGAAATAATTTTACAAGATACAGAGTGTCCCAAATAAGTAAAAAATATTAAAGTTGAATTTTTTTAAATGGAACACCCTGTATATTGTTCTATTTTTAGATTCTACGATTGAAATAAAGGTAAATTTTATTAAGGTTTATCACACTTAAACCTTACCGTTTTTGAAATATTTTCAATTTTGTGAAATTGCAGTAACAATTTTAAGGCTTTATTTCTCCAAGGGTATGAAACTTTTTAATACTAAATATTTATTGAAGTTTATTTATTGATCAGTTATTGTGTTGCAATAATAAAAATTATACTACCTTGTACAGAGTGTCTAAAATTTTATTTTAAATAATTACTAGCTTTAAACAGCAATAACCTGTTTAATTTAAATGGAACGCCCTGTATATTTTAGGAGAATCAGATGCATAATTTAATTGTCTATCAAATTGTATTATACCATTTTTTACCTATCCCTTCAAGTTTTCGTAGAAAATGTATTTTCTTATAATTTAGACCTCATTTATCAATATACCCATGGAATATTGACATTTTAGATTGTTTTTAAAGCAACAAATGTACAAAATGTACAGGCTAGTAATATTATCGTTTTTAACAAAATGATAATATTACTAGCCCATTTGTATGCAAAAAGAAAACTATTTAAATCCTCATAAAAGAGTACACTATTAATTAAACATACCACCATTATTTCCGCCCAAATACTAATTAATTACATACTCGTGAATAAATTATTCTAAATAAATGTGGATTTGAATCAGAAATCAATATAATAATAAGTTATAAAAATGAATGTCTCTGTTGTTACAAATAACCATTTGTCAAAAAATGAAATATCATTTTTAAGGTGTTACTTTTTACCACACTGTCTAATACACAAAGAAAATTAAGTTTTTTAGTTTTTGGAGCAATTATTATTAATCAACGCACACAGTCAATTAATGTAGTTTGAATACTGGAATCATATTAATTGGTCCTCTTTAACAAATATTTAAACATTTTTTTTATTTTTTAATGAAATAAACAAACTATATCGACAATATTAGTACCTGTACTCTTTAAAAATTTGGTACATTTTTAAAAATAATCTAAAATGTCAGTATTCCATGGGTATATTGATAAATGAATTTAAAATTACAAGAAAATGCATTTTCTACGGAAACTTGAAGCTATAGGTAAAAAATGGTATAACACAATTTGATAGACAATTAAATTGTGCATCTGATTCTCATAAAATATACAGGGTGTCCCATTTAAATTAAACAAGTTATTGGCGTTTAAAGCTAGTAATTATTTAAAATATAATTTTAGACACTCTGTATAAGGTAGTATAATTTTTATTATTGCAACACAATAACTGATCAATAAATAAACTTCAATAAATATTTAGTATTAAAAACTTCCATAGCCTTGGAGAAATGAAGCCTTAACATTTTGACTGCAATTTCACAAAGTTGAAAATATTTCAAAAACGGTAAGGTTTAAGTGTAATAAACCTTTATCAAATTTACCGTTATTTTAATCGTAGAAACTAAAAATGTAATAATATACAGGGTGTTCCATTTAAATTTTTATTTGGGACACTCTGTATCTTGTAAAAATATTTTGAAATTGTAGCTCTAATAGTCCTTCAACGAACCCAAAACTTACAATTTGTAAAAATCTAATCGTTTAGCTACAATACTCCGTGTCGTATGTGGTGAACAACCCTGTATATGAAGCCTAAAAATGATATTTTTTTCAAACGTCACAAAAGTATTAATTATTGACAATAAAAAAAAGTAATTTTAACGCCTAACCATAAAAGTACGAAAATATATTATTAAACTGACATGAAGTGTCAAATTCAAGGAGAGTAACCATAGTTTCTCGATAAATAATTACATACAAGGTATGACTCAAATATCTTTTTATATTATTTGGAACATTTGAAATTGGTTAAAAAATATTTGTGGCGTTTGAAAAAAAAATAGCATGTTTTATTCTACTCACAGCTTCGCCACAGAGTGTCATTTTTACTCCTAATAAAATATACTATTATTATTGTAAATATGATATTAAATTATTTTCTGGAGTGTTCACATTTTAACATATTATTTCTAAATTTCTTTGTGGGAGATGAAATAAGTGTCCCTAACTCCATATAAAATTTAATGTAAAATTTTAACTTTAATTGTGATATAACCCAAGATTTTCGCAGAATTAGACGCAAATAAAACGACAACTAATTCTATTTAAATAATATATTTACATTTCATCTAACTGCAACAATATAAAAAAGTATAGTTTTAAACTACAAAACTGTATAAATCAATTACAAATATTTGTACAAAAAATCCAATCATCTCGATTTTAATAAATACTACAAGCACACGTAACACTCACGCCACAACAGAAAAGTTTCATTTCGCTTAGCATTCATCTATTAGTTACGGTACAATTTATTTTTATTTGTTACATAAACAACAGGGTGTTTCTCTAAAATGGCTCATCCCTATAACTTTTTTATTTTTGCACTTAATAAAACGAGATTTGGTACGTTAGTATATGACATAAACTAGGATTGATTGACACTTTCAATTGTTTTCGGTCACTTCCTGTTTCACCGGAAATGACTACAACTTCTGATTTTTAAATGGCACCCTCGGTATTTTTTTACTTTATTTGGTAGAGAATGACACTCTGAATAGACTGACATATGTCATATGTCAACTATTGACATTTTCTATTAAAAAAATCGTATTTTAAATTTCAATTTTTTCTTTCGGCTGGCTAAAACTGAAAAATTTATAGAGCTGAGCCATTTTTTTTACACCCGGTATACAGAGTGGCCAACTATTCTATAAAAGTATCAGGTTTCCTATTTCAAATGTCACATTTTATCAAAGTAATTTGAACTTATTATCTCACTAAAGAATTAATTTTTCAAGTGACTGAATTGATTGAACATGAAAAGAAATTCATCTTTAACTGAAAACCTCATTTATAGCGCTTTATCAGAATAGTATACCACCCTGTATTATAAATAACAGGAATAACTGTTTTGTTAATGCAGAAAATTCGATATTCTTCAAGGAAGAAACAAAATAAATTTTATTTTAAAGAAATTAACAATTAATTGTTGTCCTTCAAATCCTCACTGACCAGGCTATTTTTATAATAAACCTTGCAAAAATTAAAGCGGATACTCACTAAAAAAGCCTTTGGTGTTTGACTTAAGCGAATATAAGTGAATATAACAAGCGAATCCAATTCTAAAATCGAATAAAGATGTATACAGGGTGTTTTTAAAACGAAACAACACAAATAACACAATTCTCTAATAAATTAAAATAAATTGTTTGAAGAATTTTTTAGAGATCACATTTTTACATTGTAACACCAAATATAAAAAATGACAAAACAAATTAATAGCACTAACGTTTGACAAAAAAAAATAAAACATTTACAAACCCCAAAAAAAATGAGCTGGAAAAAGTCATGACAAATCATTTAAAATCTTAGATCATTTACACTTCCTGGATACCGCTACACCATAATATTTCTATAGTGAACTTTGTTGCCTATATCTTAAACCTATCTATAGTTTAATCTCTTTTTTTCCGTTAGAATATACCGTATAATCAATAAAAAAAACGATCAATGACTAAACCAAATAACAAAAACAGTTAAAGGAGAAATTCTAAAATCACAATTCATGAATGATGTAGCTTTATCCACGAATGTACAATCTAGGCTTAAAATTTTAATTTTTAAAATAAAACACCCTGTACAAGCAAAACGAACAAAAAAAATAATAAAAGCAACAAAATATAACAAGGCCTGGTGCGTTTTAGCATACTTTAAATCTAACTTTTTAAAAGCTTCGTTTGTGTTAAAACTTTCGATACTATTTACACTTATTAATTAATTTCCGACTGTTAGTTTTACTTGCCTGTTTTTGATTATAATTTATTAGTTTGCGACGCGAAATTTGTTACAGATATCTCTTATAGGCGACTAACGTTGTACCGCTGATCGTTGCTTAGAGCGAGATCATTTTGTTTGGTATTTCCGCGACCTACGTGATGATAGAGGCCTAACGTGACGTCACATGAGTAGATCGCATTTTAATCTATCTGACATGATGCGAAATAAAAATTTGCTGTAGGTATATTAAAATTTTATTTGCCACTGAAGTTAATATACTTATATTTTTAGATGCTATCTAGGGATTGAAACACAATTGAACTGAATAAATGTCTAACATACCTACTTGAAATTGATAAAAACAGAACACGTTCAATTAATAATTTAAGAACGTACTTAAAATGTTCTAAACAATATGAACTGATCTCAGACACACCCGAAAACGCTTGATGACGTAACGTTGAACGATCACAGACCGGAGAGTAATCTACTTCCTTGACGTCACGAATTCGTATATCAGGCCTCAATCACCAGTTGGTTTCGGTTCGATATTGCACACACGAAGTAAACATCAACACACAGATCTTACTGTTGCGGTACTACTCAGTCTTTTCGTCTTTTAGTTTCTTTGTAAAAAGTAATTATTACTAGCGATTGTTCGAACAACAATCTGCGTTTACCGCAACAGCAAGAACGACAAAATTTAATGAAATACGCTGTAAAAGTGTTAATAAAAACAAATGTGCAGTATATTGGGAGTAAACTTTAGTAAAAGGGTAAGACAATCAGAGGTACTTGTACTGTTTTCTAGGTTCCTCTTATTAATTTGAAAAGCTTTTTGTTTGGGCGGAGATAACCTACGTATGGGGTTCTATTCTGTGGTAGTTTCTCTTACCGCTACGTCAATGGTATTAAGCCATTTGTCACTGAAATGAAAGAAAAAATAATATAGATAAAAGAACGGAGAAATGTTTCCCATTAAATACAATTTTTAAACAAGAAATGTTCATCATGTTTCTCTAAATTATGAAAGATATAACATTTTAAGATTATTTTTTCTAAAAGTTAAGTAAATGGAATTTAACATTGCGAATATCAATTTTTGTAATCAACTACTGCCGCTATTGCTATAGTTCAGATAGATAAAAAGTTATTTGCATTTATTGAAAAATAAAAAAAGAAATGTGTATCACCTTTCTCTAAATTGTGTTCTCATACATTGACGCTGTATCTTTCTTACCTTTTTCAGACCTTTGATTCACAGCAACGTCACTTCGTCCTCCAGCTTAACATGGAGAACGTTTAGTTCGCCAGAGAGAGCCAAGGATGGTCCAGGACATCCTCTGCGGAAAACCGCAAATCTGGCACCAACTGCAACATGTTCTGGATCAGTTCCTTAGCCAGGGAAGAGACGTCTTGCCAGAACTCGTCGGGGAAGTCGTACTGGCCTGGAAATAAATAATTGAAATTTAAAAAAAACACAACGTTTTGTGATAACCGAACATATACCCAGGTTATTAAATAAATTGCGAATTATTACAAAAGAACTTTATCAATGGCGCCTATAAACAATTGATGGTAGGTGTACTGGAACTTATAACGATTGTATATTTCTCATAACAAAAAATTATTATTATTTAAATTGATGTACAGAAGAAACCAGAAGGTGTAAAGGTAAAGCTATAGGAATGTGGTATAATTAAAAACAATTTTAGGTATTTAAATTTTTGGTTTTAACATTATTATTGGTATTGAACAACAGTATTGGAACTTACCTGACAAAATGCAATCAAAAAGCTTCTCCTGATCATTGTCTTGACTAGCAAAAGGTGGATACCCACACAAGAGGATGTACAAAATAACTCCCGCAGCCCACACATCGATCTGCAAAATAATTAAAAAAAATGATATTCCTAAATAGACCTAGAATGTTGTATTTAAAATACGCCACAGGAAAGGCTGTTATTATTTTATTATTACCTTCAGTCCATATCCACTTTCAGCCAGTATTTCGGGAGCCACATAAGTAGGAGTTCCGCAAACAGTGTAAAGAGGTCCAGTCACTTCGCAGGCTAGTCCAAAATCACCCAGTTTCAAACACTTGATCTTACCATTGTCCATTTCAACCTAATTAATTTTAAGTTTAGAAAATTTCAATATTATTTGCAAGAATACATATTTTATAATACCATGTTGGCAACTCTTACTTTTGGGTCGGTTTTTACATATGTGAAAGTAGCAAAGAGATCTTATTACGTCGGAGTGAGAGAAATGCCACGGTGTGCTGTTACGGCGTTGCCACATGTCTCTGGTATGCCGTTCCCTATCAAGTAAAGTAAAATGGCGATCGCAAACCTTTTTAAAAGACTTTTTTCGAAAAGATAACTAGATAAAATCATTAGATATGTTTCTGAGCACCTGAAATGGAATTATAAGGATATTGTTAGGGTGTCCATATTTTTTATAACGAGAAAACTTCAGTAACCCGTCTACTTAATTTTAGTGCATAGCAATTTTCAGCAATCGTGTAACTTTTTTGTTTGTAAAGATTTTCACTACTGTCTGCGAAGAAAATATAGCAGATATATTAAGAAAGTTTTTGAAAAAAAACTACAATCAATTATTTCTAATAGATTTCGAGATATCGATTTCTGAATTCAGAGTTCTAATAACGAGACCACTGTCGAACACTCAATTCCACTTATTTTTACCAAAAATGCGAGTGTTTCTAACTTGCACTTAAAAATTTACAAGCTACAGGGAAAATTAGGACTCTTTAATAAATAAACAAATAAAATATCACGAGACGTAATTAAATCGTGAAGCTAAACGCATGATGTGCACCCTTGATTGGGTCGACCGGTCGACCGCGACGAATCTGCTATATCCCCTTTCACGTCTCTTAGCGATGTGCACAGTTTCTCGGTTTATTTCATACGTTTGGCAACATTTTTACTGTTCTCTTTTTGTTCAGGACATTATAAACGCATTGTACTCTTCTTACATACGGAAATCTCGACCCAAGACTAACCTTTGCCAGCCCTTAGTATATATTTTAAATAGTTTTTCTTTGTTTTTTATGTTTATTTTTTGCTTGCTACCTCCTTTAATTTTGAGCAGTTTTTGTCCATTATGCAAACTTGTTTTATTAGTAATATGCCGCTGACAAATTGGTCTCTATTGCATTAATGCAGCGGTATTTCAAAAAATACTATTTTATTTTGTAGATTTTCTTCCAGCGGCGAAATGCCACAAAGATATAGACATTATTTAATATTAATTACCAGTAGATTTTCTGGTTTGACGTCCCTATGCACGATATTTAAATTATGCAGGTAGCCTAAGGCGGACACAAGGTGTTTCACCATCAAGGCGGCTTGTTCTTCGGAAAACTTCTGAGCCACGGTGATGACGTCGAACAGATCACCCCCCGCTACGTACTCGCACACCAAATACAGCATGTTCTTCGAATCGTGTTCCTCAATTAGGGACATTATATTCGAATGCGTCACCATCCTTAGGATTTTCACTTCGTTTTCGATCATATCCTCCTGGAAATTAAACAAAACATCTTTTTGACATCCTGTTTTTTGACAAGTTTCTTAATTTTTCAAAAGTCATATAACAGAAAATTGCAAAAGCAGGGTTGGATAACGACGCATAGAAAATTAATTTTTTACGCGTATATTTAAAATTGCGTAGAAAATGATCAGGAAAATTTAAAAAAAATGTATTTCTGCAAAAAAATGATGTTAAAACAGTTTCTGTTGAACATTTGGCACCTACATATTTTAAACTTATGATTTCAGTCTAATAACTATCTAGTCTCAACATGTTCAGTTCTTGTCAATAATGACATGTATTGATAATTTAGATTCCAGATATCTCGAGAAACATTACTCGTGGCGATTTTTACCAAGGGACCTTTTTTACTTAAAAAATGTCGTAAATGTATATTTTTTTAATCAGTAGTTTTATACAGGTACGGACGAAAAGTTATTATCCTTCAAACCAGTTAAAAAATACGTAGGTGGCGCTCTCTACAAGCAGGAGTTATATTGACATGAAAATCAAATTTATCATGTCAAAAAAACTCCCAGACACCAATTTTCATCCAAATATTGATGTTACTTCATAAATTATTTGGAAAAAATCGAAATATAAATGAAACTTCTACACCCTGTATTTCCGAAACTAAGCATTTTAGGAATACAAACTTTTTTACTTATTTTTATCTGCAGAATATGCTGCCGAAGTTTCCGGAATACAGTTCGGACCACCCTGTATACTATCCATTTGTTAAATAATAAATAACAATTAGAGATATCGTTATTAGTTTATTTCATGTTCTAATTATTGTTATTAAAGTATTTGGGAACTAAATATTAACTGAAAAAACGGCTTACAATATACAAAGTAATTTAACTATGTCTGGACATGTAAAAAATGTAGAAAATTTGTTGGTGTAGAAAATTAATTTTCTACGTGTAGAATATACAGTAGAATATATAAAATTTTCTACCTACCCAACCCTGTTCAAAAATAACAATTGAAAAAAATATTTATTATTAAAAGGAATAAATTTTTCAATGCCACTCACCTTTCCCTTACACTTAGATTTATCGATAATTTTTAAAGCGTATTCTCGTTCGGATATCACCTCCTTGCACAGCCGCACGATGGCAAAATTGCCGTCCCCTATCATCCTGCCCACGCTGTATCTGCCCTTCATGCCGGCGGGCAATACGATATTATTATCTAGACTCAGTTTCCTTAGCAGACTCTCTTCGGAGTCGTAAGTCCTGTTCAGTTCTTTTTTAGGCATTTTCGGTTTGGGTCCCGCACTGAAAAACATATAAAAAAATTTGTCAAGTGCGAGTCGGACTCGCGCACAATAGGTTCCGTACCATTCATTATCTATACAATATTAGACACTATATTATCACGGCACATAAAACAATCGGCACGCCAACTCTACTCAGATTCCATTGTTTAAAATTTCTATAAAATTTGACCTTGTCGGCGCCATTATGGTTTCCTAGTCAGGGCCGGATTAAAACGTATTAAAAAATTTCTCAGAAAATACGACAGGGTCGTATTAAAAAAATACTGTAATTGACTGAAACTGAATTTTATTTACAATACTTTTGTCCAAACAAATGAATCGTTAACCGCGCATACTTCTCGAAAAGTAAAAATGAAAAAATCAATTAAATATTTCACTGTAGAGAATAGACAATTAAAATTAAAAAACATGCAACTAACAAAAACATGCCAGGAGTTACAACAAGAATTAAAAAAATACCAATAAAATATTTATTGAACAATATAAAGAGGCTACGTACAAATTATGCCCATCAATGGGCGTAGCAAATTTTATTAATATTCAAATTTCACAAATTAATAAATCCACAATTTTTTTTGAGAAACTTCTATTTTTTTCATGGCAGGAAACAAAGTAGGTACCGCATTGTATTTTATACGGTTACAAAGTGAATTGGTAAACATTTTAAATTCAAAGTGAACAGAACACAACCTGTACTTGTGGACCTTATTTATATCTTCAATCAAGTCTTCTCTGTTAGCTGCAATTGCCCATGTTCTTGCCCTAAAAATGTATTGTTAACTTATTTTCGATATACTCATTTTATTTATTTTTATAATTATATTTAAATGAATAATATAATGATTTTTAAATTTAATTTTTAATGTCTAGATTCTAGATACAACATTAAATTTTATTTTACTAAATATTTAACATTAAATCTTACTAATATTAAAGTTTGTTAAGATTTTTAATTAGATCTTCCTATTTAGCTGAATGTCCTAATATGTATACTACTGTTTTTTTAACTAAAATATGTTAAAATAATTAATCACATATGTATATACATACCTAATCGGATCTCTAGGAAACAGAAAGAAACTTTTATTGCAGTTTAGTCCTCTACTCGGGCAGTTTTTTGCTGAACAACTTCGCCCAGGCATTTTAAAAACACGTAAAAATTAACGATTTAAAAATGTTCAGAAAAACAAAAATAAATTATATAACACAAGAAACGAAAATAAACTAGAAAAACCAAATATATAACACAATAAACAAAAATAAAAAAACAACAACTATAAAATATAACTCAAGAAATAAACAAAATAAATTAATCCGTACGCTACTGACTCGAATCAGCCGAAAGTGTGCGCAGTCGATGAAAGAAACTACGACACTGGTTACTTTCTGTTGATGGAAACCCTAATGGCGGCGTGCGCGACGGTATGCGCGTAGCGTTCCCGCCAAAGAGAGTTAGCCTGCCGTGTGATTTATATGCCGTGATATTATTATAAACTTTTTTTCCGATTTAGCTGAAATTTTGAATGCGCGTATAAGTAATTTAAAAAAAAATGAAGAAACACATTACTAAAAATTGTATTAATCAATAATAAATATGTAAAAAGTAAAAATAAATATGTAAAAATATGTAAAAATAAAAAAAAACGATTAAAAAAAAGTCGCTTTCACTAGGATTCGAACCTGCCTACGGCTCCAACGTCATAGCAGCGTAAAGTCCTAACGCTTTAACCACGCTGCCACCAAGGACTTGAAAGATTCTATGTAAAATTCTTACTTAAAAGATAATGTTTAGTGAAATTACTTTTTTATTTATAAACATTTATTTAATTCTGTTTTTCGTATTTGTTCTTATGGCGGCAACATAGATACATTATCTGTAAAAATTTCAACTGTCTAGCTATAACGTTTCATAAGACAGACCTTTGTGACAGACGGACGGACGGACAGCGAAGTCTTAGTAATAGGGTTCCCGTTTTTACTCGTTGGGTACGGGACCCTAAAAATCAAATATAGGCTTGGTACATTTCAGTTGATTTTACACTTAATTTTTACTACCCAAAACAGCGTTACATCACACAAATTTCGTACCTAAGAATTTTATAGTTTCGATAACCGCATTTTTAAAAACTAAAATACTTAAATACAAGGTCCGGCAATAGTGCATCGGGCATCGGTAGCTACTAGATTAAAAAACCTGTGAATTTTGTTTAAGTGCTAATAAAAGTATTTTAACTTCTACAGGGTGGCTCCGAAAACTGTGAGTGGATCAGGATGATTTTTTTTAAACATAAAACCCTGAATATTATTGCATTTTTGGTATCCTTTCAGATCACTTTACATAATCCTATGATAAATATATTCGGTAGTTTCAGATATATTAATAATTAAATAAAAAAAATATATTTTTCAGCCTTTCTTAAAAAAATTATTAAAAATACAAGAACTGTCCTGAAATCAAAACTATATTAGGTACTTACTTTAGATGTCTGTAATTACTGTGCTATAAATATCGTAATCTTAAATCATACAGGGTGTTCAATATTCTACGCCAAACTTTCTAAAATATAAAATATTTCCTCTTTGTTATTTTAAATGGAACAACCTGTAGATTGTTTCTTTAATAGATAGAGAATAAAAAAATCAATATTTTTGTATTTTTTAGAGTATTTCAACATTTTTAACGGTTTCGCAGATACTCGCGGTATTATTTCATAAAGCTCTTTCAACGGTGAAATACGAGAGAAAAATCATTGGGTGGCTTTGATAAAAATTTACTGTGAAAAATGCCCTAAAATAGTTGAAATACTCCAAATATTATAAATAAATGTCCATTTTTTAATTCTCCATCTATTAAACAAATCATATACACATTTTTAAAAATTAAGAAAAATTATTTTATATTTTAGAAAGTTTTGCGTAGAATTTTAAACACCCTGTATGATTTAAGATTCCGATATTTCGAGCAAAGTAAGTGCAGACCTTCTAAAGTAAATATACCTATGATTCCAAGACAGTGCTTGTATTTTTTTTTTAATAAACGCTGAGAAATACACATATTTTATTTATTTATTAATATGGATAGGATTATGTAAAGTGATCAGAAATAAAGATAAAAATGCAATAATATACAGGGTGTTCCGCTTAAAAAAGTCATCCCGATCCACTCACACTATTTTGAGCCACCCTATAGAAGTTAAAATATTTTCCTGAAATACATCCTAGTACATAATTTAGGTTTGCACTTAAAATTCCCAAGTTTTTATTCTAGGAACTTCAATATTATTTTAATGCAGTCAACATGAACAGTAACCGGGGCACGTGAAATACAGAACCGGAAAGATTTCTGATTTCTGCCGTACCGGCGCTGCTGTCGGGGTTTTAAAAAATCGGTTGAAATCCACCAAGCTTATAGAAATTTTTACGTGAAATTCGTTGGCGATAGATAGTTTTTCTATGCGATTTTCGATGCTAAAATAAATAAATACGTACCCATTTCGTAGACCAGGGGTTTTCTTGTATTGCTGTATAGTCTTGCTCTCCTCGAAATCCAACTCGAAGTCGTCCTGCGAATGTCGCTCGTTGCCATAGATGAAGAAGACATCTTCGCACTCGAAAAGATGGGGAAGAGCTGTCACGGGCTGACCTACACACTCACTCTCAATCATAACATTCAAATTTGACAATTTCAATCAAATGATTTTGATCTGTTTATTTCTTTGAATAAGAAGACTAAGGAAGGAGCATATCAAAAATCTTAGGTACACGGCGATGGGCCTCAAATATGGCCGACTTAAATTCCGGTTTATCAGTGTCGTTCTAATTTTATTTAAAAAATGTAAAACTATGATGTAGGGTAGACGTGGGGTAGACTCAATAATTTGTTGTTTTATTTTACGTTGTGAATAAATGTTGGTAGTTATTAAAATTGTTATAAAAATATATAATTCTAATAAAAATAGATAAGTTATAATAAGTATTTATTAACACAAACATCCGATACGCTACTGAAGCAGGTAAGTCAAATTAACGTATCTAAATTCTTTGACATCTAATCTTTGACAAGTAATAAATAAAAGCTAAAATGCAAGAAAAATATATAATTTAGTTAATTTAAGTGAATTTCATAAATGATCGGTTTACTACACGTATGTATATTATATAGTCACTTACTAGCGAAAAGTTGTTCCATTATTTCACTCAATTTTTGCCGAGATCTACCGCACGCTACACAACCAACTATTTTAGAGTCTTTTTCGATAAATCGCGATAGTGTCACTGTTAATTTAAGTTCTGCCACAATTTCCATCTAGATTTACTACCTTTATACAACTATCAGTAGTAGAATAAATAATAAATAACATAAAATAAGCTCCATAAAGACTGACAAATCCACAAAATTTCAAATCAAATTCAAATGTGTCAAATGAATCGTCAAACAGAACTGTCAAGGATCCCCACCCTAGAGTCCTTTTTCCGCCCACCATGCATGAATACATGGATAGCATTATGCTCCTTCCTTAGTCTTCTTATTCAAAGGTTTATTTCATGCCAATTTTAAATTTACCGCTAGATTAAATACTGTGACATCATGAAATATAATCTATAGCAAGAAAAGCGCCAAATATAATTTACATTATCTTTATAAGCGATTTTCAATCTAAATTTATTTCATTTATCTATGATATCATCATTAGTTTAGATTATGCAGTGTAGAGATGAGGAGAAATATCTCTTATGGGACTTTATTTGAGAAAGTAGTAACAAAAATGGGAAGAATAAGAGTTCACCAAATAACCACAGTGGCGCTAATGACGCATAAATCTAAAAATTGAAAACTAACCATAGATAAGAGAATAAAAGTAACATAACCAAACATTACCCAAAAAAAGCTTTGGTTTTACTTTTTAGAATATAAAATAATTATTTTTATATATTAGAGGCCCAGTCTATTGCTGCTGAATAAAAATCAATATTTTATTTCATGTGACATGAAAATAAAATTTTTATTTTTTTGAAATCGCGCCTTCGCGTCAAATATTTATCTCTTTTGAATCATTTCCTGCTCTAAAAATTTTCGGCGCATATTTTAAATTTTAGGTTTGTGCTACAGCAGCGCCATCTTAAGTCTTCCCTTTTTTATGACCATTTTTAATACACGAAGATATTTCTCCTTACCTCTACACTCCATAGTCTAGATGTTGTGAGTCTTATTTTTCGTTTATTTTTTAGTCCCTATTAAGGTGTAATATATAATTGTCTTAAAAACACTTTTATAAGACCTATGTTAGTTGTACACCTTGACTATTTTGTTATTATACAATATGATCGAAAAAAAACAGCGTCAACGATGGCTATGAAATAAAGATCGTCATTTACGGTCGACGATGGCTATGAAATAAAGATCGATCATACGGTACTTTTAAATGATGAAACGTACCTGATAATGTAAAAACTTTCCTAACGGCTAACTGGGCGACTTCGGAGAAAGCACCCAAAACTTGTTCTAAACTCGACGAATTCCTTTTGTTTAAAAGTAACCGTAAAATCTGAAAAAAATCGTTGTATAATATTATAAAATAGTCACAGAATGTTACAAATCAGTGTCAGATAAAATTAAACTACCGCAAACTAAATGAACACCTCAGTTGATTCAAAACGACGTCACAGTAAGCATAGTAATAAGATTTTTGATTTGGTTTTACCTATGTCCATCGCCAATTCAGTTCAAGTAAAACGGAGCGTTTTTTCCAGATAATAAGTCCGCCAAAAAAATGTATGGATAGGGAACGGAAACGGAACGGAAACGGAACGTATAGTGTGTATTGTCCTATTCATTTACATTATATAATATTTTATGTAAACGGAATGGAAACTGAAGGGATCTGATATGGAAAGTATAGTGAGAATCAACCTTTAACTAAACAGATAAGACTGACAGGTCTTTGCTAACTATACCTAAAGTGTTCTGCTTCCCCAGTAACTTAAAGAAGAAGTCAAGAACCTGGAAGACTCGATCTGTAACCTGGAATGAGAATCTTCCAATGGTCTAAGACATACAAAGAAATTTCTCAGGACTTACGACCGAGAAATATCAAAGATTTTCGTTGTTAAGTAGGAACAATCTAGGGATTGTCGCGGGCTTTTTAACAGGACACTATCTCCTCAATGAACACCTCGTAGATGAAGCTAGGGAACAACGGTGAATGCAGATTATGTCTGGAAAATTGGAAAACACCAGAACTCCTCATCACTGAGTGTGCGACAGTACAGATTACTATCAAAGATGGAGAACTCACCTCTGTAAAACCGTCCGAGACTGTATGAGGAGTATAGAAAATATAACTGAGTGCAGAACGTATAACTCAAGATCACTGATAACTGAAGGAAGTATCTATAACTGAAAAAAAGTAGAAAAAAAAAGAAGAAAAAATGAGTACACAGGCTGACGGAACATATGAGAAACATTTTACAGTAAAAATAAAAAGATGTTGCAACAGTACTATAATAGTACTGTAGTTATAATAAACGAACAAAACGTAATAGCCTGTTTGAACTTAACTGCTATGTGTTCAAATAATACTGTACCTTTCTGGGTTTAATCCCATGTCGTATAATGGTCACTATCCTCGGTCGGACACAGTCGGGTGGTGCGATTTTAGGCGCGCTGATCAGAGAACTATTATTCCTATTCGTCTTTCGGGCTTTCAGTGTGTCCGTTTTGGAGTACTCTACTTTCTTGAAAGTCTCACCTTTACCGCTAACCACGTACTCCTTGCCGTCTTCTAACTCTTCTATAGTTAACACCTACAAGAGGGATAGAATATAGTTAATCTGTAGCCAAGAAATGTCCTATCAAAGAGTCAGGAAAGATTTCGATACATGACATCTAAAAAATGACAAAAAATACAATTTACGTATGCATTAAAATGACAGACACAACTGTCACTGTCATATATCCTCTCGATGGACAGACTATACGTGATTAGGTTAATAATTTTAACTGTTTAACGCAGAAAGAGAAAAATATTTTCTATAAAGTACACCAAAGATTCAACTACTTTGGCGTTATCTTTTTTCACATGATTAATGCTTTGAATTAATTAAATATACAGGGTGGCCCAGTATTGTCAAAAAGCTTCCTATTTTAAATATTTATAGAGTGATTCAAATATACTTTTACACTAGAGTCGTATTTTTTACGCATTTTTACGTTTTCTACACATTTAAAGCCCTTTTAAGATTGCAAAAATAGCAATTTTTATGCATTTTAACTGACAGTATTGTAACATATTCCGTGACGTATGATATTTAATCAACTTTTGTTCCAATCGAGTTTTTATCATGTGTAAATCTGTTAAAAATATGTAGTATTCTTGATTTTTATAAAAAAAAGATGATGTATGAACACTAACAGACTAAAAATATTCTAAATAAATTAGATTTTTTTTAACTGTTAGTATCAATAAGTTCTGCAAATAATGAAATATCATTGAAATATATGTTTACTAAAAGGCTTAGTACTATAAACTTCAATATAATGAAAAATGTGAAATCCCGCTGTATAAAAGACCTATAACATTCTCTAGAATTAATTTTCAAAAACCAAAAATATCTTCAATATTTATTTTCTTATTACTTCCCCACTATAGAAGCGATGAAATTCAATTTAAAATAAAAAGAAAATATTTATCATTTCATAAATTATATAATTTTCTAATGATCTCTCAACTAGATTTTAATAGCTATTTTCTATATTTAGGATTATTTATTTCATTAAACTGGCTGAATAAGCAATTCTAACTAAAGTTTATTTTCCAGAAGATGCAGAGACTAAAACGTCAGAGAAATAAGTAAAAAAAGAGGCGCCCTAACATATAAACAGCTATTAAAGACTGTCGAACGAATCAGGGAAGATTTCAACAGCAGAAATCCGAAAAATGACAGAAAATACAATTTATCTATGAATCTATGAATATCAACCTGACTGTTGTGTCTACTGTGTACAAGTATTTTCTAGGTTTACTTATTTCTCTGAGAAACTAAGAAAAACACTTAAAAATATCAAAATATCTATCTATAAAGCTCAATTAAAATCAGACCATCCTATATAACAGCAACTAAATTTTCTAGTGGCACTTTTCAAAATCCCAGATGTTCAGATTAATCCTTAGTTTTTCTCTGAAATACCTTGCTTATTTACATTCAAAGTTGTGTTTGTTTGGGAAAGAAAGTGCTAACCCAATTTCTTGAACTCCATAAACACCTGCCTGCTTCCTCAATTTGTAAAAATAGTATTTCTAACTCTGGTAATAGTCTGTTTAATTTAAAAAGTTTATACACAAAATAATTCTTTTAGACAAAGACAATTATTTAATTCACTCATAAATTAGTTCAAACTTGCAACTCCATAAAGCTCTAGCTACATATAACATAAAAATAATTTAAATATATAGAAAATTTAGTCCAAAATCGGTCATATATTAAAAACTACTCTATTTATGACAAAAATTTTATGGAAAATCTACTAAACAAAAAAAGTTTAAAAATATATTTGATTACCCAATAAATCTCTAAATAAAAAAAATCGCGCTAATGTTGTTCTCATATTTTGTAAAAAATGTTGAAGCAAAAATCTCAAATAAAAAATCTCAGAGCACTGTATTGTTTGAACTAATTATAACTGACAATATTTCTTTCTGCTAATTTATTATTCATTAACAAAAACGCCAAGTAATATACAAACAAAGTTTATAACAACAGTGGCATATATTTAGGTTTAATTGATATTCAATGTGGATCTCTACATATACACATTCTTCAATGTACTTTCAGTTCGTACCCTCAAACAATGAGTCACTGACCAACTATTTAAAACACAAAATAGTTTGTTTACTGCCTTGAACATTTGATAGCAGAAATATACTGTTTTACAAGAACATCATGCAAATATAAACAATATGTGAAATATACACAATTTTTATATTTTGTCAACAATGAATATATTATACTTTTTTTTTCGCATCACTTTGATTAAACATAATATAGATAATAGATAAAGTTGCATCATCAATTTGAGTCTATTGGAAATGTTGATTATATATATTGATTGCTATTAAGTACCTTTTTTCCATCCATAGAATATATATTTCGTACACCATTTGGTAATGTAACATTTTTGGCTAGTATTGATGTAAGTTCACTAGTGAGACTGTCGAAAGACCTATACCGCTCGTGAGCTACTGGTATCACAATTCCATTAAAAAACTTGTTGCCATTATGGTAAAACCTACAAGTTATAGATAAAATATAAATTCCAATAATCAATACTATGAATTGGACATTAAAAATATGTATCTAGAAACCATCTTTTTTAACTGTAAAAATAATGTATATGTTAAAAATTGATTGTACTAACCTGACCCTTTTCGCTTTGGCTGTTCTTGCTGTTGAGGAAGGCCTGTTTTTCGCTTTTATCGTATCGTCTAATCCATTTTCGAACGACTTCTCCGAATCGGATCGCAGTGAATTAAAACTAGCTGGAGATATACTTCTTGAACTGATCAAATTATTTTTAGACATGGTTTCGGGTGAATCGATCTCTCCTTTACAGTTTCTTTGTCATAATTTATACATTTGTAGTAATTTAACGTTAAAAATCGTGTATTGTAGAGAAAGGTACCGCCTAGCACAGCTGTCACTTGTGGGAGCACGAAAAAGGCACTGATATTGTCCCCCCGAGTAATTTTAAGGTCCAGCGGTCCGAATAAGAGAAAAACACATTATTTAACCGCGTAAAAACTTAAAATTATTTTAAACTAACTGTTTATTTCGTGAAAAAAGTTAATAACCTCTTTTTGTCAATGGTGGGAGGAAGAAATTTGATTCGCAGTGCAGCCAGCTGCTTTCAGATTTTAAATCGGGAACATTTTTATTTTTCGACTAATGGCAATCCTGAATATCCAAAATCTGTGGTTACACATGTCTCGGACCAGATAATTATAAAAAGTAGAAGAACTTTACTGTTATTCTGTGGTTCTTAGAATTTTTCTGATTTTTTGATAAAAAAGTAATTTTTCTGTACACTATTTAAGTGTATTATGTTCTTTTAGGACTCTTTAATATCCAGAAAGTGTAAGTACCCATTATTTTTCCTGTTTTCTATCGATTTTTTCACCTTCAAATATTTCAATTTTATCATGAATCATGAAAAGCTTATATTTTATATTTGTCCAATTTTCATAATTTTTGTTTTCAAAATCGAGTATATGGAAATATAGATACATTTCTTGAAGTATTGTTAGTATTGTCTATATTGTACAATAAAAATATAGTTACTAGAATATTGCTTCATATTTAGAAATATTTGGGTATTTTTTCGGCTTCCTCTTTTGGTAGAATTTAAAGATGTTTTTTATTCCTAAACGTAATTTTTAGGTGTTTGTTTGTACAGGCAATCAACTTTTTTCTACATCTTTTAGAATAGGTCAGTGTTAGATATAGACAAGGGTGTTAGTATACCTATAAACTATGTGGGCCCCACATTCTCAAGAATTACATAATAGGTACTCTCAGATAAAAAAATTGTTTTTGCATTTTTAACATCGTCATATTCAACAATTTTGCATTGTTTTATATAATGTTCTAATTTTTAATTTTCTTTTTTAGGGGTGTTATTAATAATACAGAGCCAGTACATAACGAACACTAAAAGAATAGATTTAGATAATTCTGATGTTTGGCCATTGTTCTGGTTTACAAGATATGGTTTTCCATTATTCAATTAAAAGTAAGTTTATTTTATTATTGAAAAACAATTTTAATAAATTTATTAAATGTTTATTTATTAACAGACTGACCAATTTTTTAAGACTTATTATTTAATCTTAATTTGAAGCACAAAAAAATAAAGACAGTTACAGTTGTGCAAATATAGGAAGAGACTTGAGGATAGCACCGGTCGCATTTCATTCATAGCATTTCTCACGTCTCTAGCTATACTTGTTAAGTTGTACTAAGCATAATTAATGAAATGTAATATTATTTCTCTTTTTTTTACAGATTTTCTACAACAAATCAATGGATGTATACAGTTTCAGGGCAGTACATTTATCCTTTTCATGAATATTACCAACAATGCATCTAAAATATTATATTTCTTTTGGGTGAATATATTTTTTCTTTTTTAATATTCACACTTCAGTTAAATTTAATTAAGTGGAGAAAATTCCAGTGAATCTTGAGTTTCATTTTTATGGTTTCTTATTATCAGAGAGATTCTCTAACTCTATTTTTAACTTCTGCCAATTTTTAGCTTTTAGCCATTTTTGTCTTTGGGAAAGAATCTTTTGCTTGAACTTTGTGCATTAATATTTTTTGAACTATACTTTTATTTATTTTCATTTAGTGAGAATAATGCAATCTATGATTAACTGTTAGAAGTTTATGTTTCAATTTACATAGTCGCAATTTATGTAATAAAATGATATATTTATTATAACGTATCATAATAATATATTTCAATGTTTTGAGTTTTATTTTACTTATATTGATGTATTTATTCTTTAGACTTGACTTACTAACGAGATACATTTACAACAAGAAGTATTCAACAATCTCTACAATAGGTAAGTTTGATATTTTATGCTACTGTGAATGTATATATACAGTGAAGAGATAAGAAAATCTTACATTTACTTCTGAAAAAAACGTCCGACTTTTTGAAATTTTTCCTTTGGCGCGCTTAAATGATTACAGCGCCACATTTATTTAGTGAGAGTTCTTGGTACTATTTTCGAAGCGATTATGGCGCCACCTCATAGGAAGTTTTAAAACTAAGTAGATACAGATTTCTGTTTTTAATAGATGTATGTGGCGCCATCATGGGGTTAGTACACAAACTAGTTATTTATAGGTTTCTATAATAGAATAATATTGCTAGTGATATCTATCGTTAAATACCTAAACTTTTCAAATAATTTTCTTAGAAATTCAAAGAAATCTGCAATTTTTAGTTCCCAAAAAGTGTTGAATGAGAGACATCTATGAATTAAATTTTATACTAATTGTGATTCTAACCCATAAAGTAACTAAATTCTAACCATAGAAAAATATTTTTTTTTATATTTTTCCTGAAATTTTTTTACAATTTACAATTGAATAGTAATTTTTGAGAATAATCTGATTTAAATCAGTTTGGTGATAAATCTGATGGTTAAGTTAAAATGTACGATCTATGTAATATTCTTTATAATTAATTTTTAATATTGTTTATCTTCAATTCGTATTTTTAAGTGTCTTTGAAGACTAGTATACAGACCTAACTTTTTTTTACAGATATGCAATAATACAGTGAAGAGAGATTGCTATGAAGAACAAAGGAGAATACATCAAGTAAAATGGAAAGAAATAGGGATAATTATCTTTTGGGAACATGCGTACGGGTCATAGATATAATTTCGTAAGAAAACCTCACCGATTGTACCCTGCTTTTCAATGAACCAAAAAAGAGTAACCTGGAGCAACAATATTGCAATCGACAAAACCAATATGAGATGGTTTCTGTTTTGGAGTATTATTGTTATGAAGATATGTTTGTAGTCAATTTGTAGTGGATAAGGTAAACTAATTTATTTTCATTGTTTTAGTGTGTTTTTTTATTTGTTCAATTTTTTCTTTAAAGTGAATAGGAAAAAGACGTAAATGAAATAGAATAATGTAAGAAAACACAGATTACACACAAAATAAAACACTAATTCACCGCAATACACCAAAACATTCTACTTTTGCACTGGACGCGCGTTTCGCTAACCATGTTAGCATCATCAGTAGGTATTTATTATCAGCAGATGATTAAAACTGTGTTCCCAGTGAGCATTTTATTTCTTTAAGGGAAATATGTTCTAGGTGACGTAGTTGTTACATTACCAGGCCCTCCTTTTGCCTGATAAAAATGAATAAAAGGCAGATACGTAACTGTTTCCCAAATGTGACAAAAGTTTGCTCACTTGAGTTTTTAATGTGCAGATGTAAGTGTTTTGGTGTATTATTGTGAATTAACGACAACGTTCATACAACACCCCCTGTATAACTATTTTTTTTATCTTTTCAGAAATATATGCGAGTTACTGGAAATATGAGCATCCATGCAGTATTCATCAGAAAGAAAATTCAATAGAAAAATCAAGAATCCATCCAAGTGAATTGTATTTATAGTGGTCTTTTTCTAATAAATCATAATAAAGTTTTCGTGTACATAGTTTCATTTGAATACCTTGAATCTGCCTTGAATAGTCTTTAAATTTAAACATATAATATTAAATGATATATTACTGGTTGCTAAAACAAACAAAAATCGAAATACCTATTTCAGAAGAAATCCAATAAATATTATTAATCTAGTTGCCTTTAATATTAGTACATTAATTTAATAACATATAAACCCTTTCATAGTCCAGACCCATGCGTCATTCTATAAAGATTTTATTTGTTTTGTCTCAAAACAGCCACATCTACCACCAAAAATTACCATTTTTAAAAATATTTTTCTGAAGTGAATTAAATCGGAAATTTTTGGCCAACGAGCTCAAACAGTTAGACTCATTTACAAAAACGTTAATTACTCAGAAACTAATTAAGATATCGGGGCGCGCTTGATGCCATTCGATAGGGAATTCAACCCTCTATCTGTACACAAAATTACAACCCCCCAGGACAAACTTTATTTTTTGGAGCAAAAATGAGCAAAGGGGTTAACCTTAGAAAATTTTTGGCCCAAAAAATAAAGGGTGTCCTAGGGGCTTGTAATTTTGTATACAAATAGAGGGTTGAATTCTCTATCGATTGGCACCAAGCGCGCCCCGATAGCTCTTTTAATTACGGAGTTATTAGCGTTTTAATTACGAAAACGAGGTCAAAGTCTTAGAGTCAACAAAATTCAGCATTTCTCTCCAGTGTTAAAAATTTGTTCGAGGCGTTGAAAAATTTCGCACGGGGCAACCAAATCTTGTGCATTTTTATCATCAAAAATTTCATTTTGAACAGAAATGAGGCACATTTTTCAGAACCATTCTTAACGTATAGATATTTTATATTGCGATTATATTTTTGGTTTGCCATTAATATAAAATTTTAGGTTGCAATTTTATTTTTTCTTGTTATATTTAATAGGAGCTCTAAGAGTTTCTATCTTTCTTTTAATTGTTATAGTAATGGAATTTTGTTATAAATAAAACACATGTACGTTCAATATATTAAAATATTTTATTAAAAATATTCAAATAGGTCCTTCATGTTAAATGTTTATACATATATTAAAAATGTTACCGTTAAGTGGCAAGGTAAATAAATTTTATATGTTGGGTCTAATTTAATAATAGCTAATGCTTTTATTTACATTCTCTTCTAATTATACACAATAAAGAATGGTATTGACATTTATTAAGGAAATAACTTAAATACTAAAAAATATTTACAGGTAAAATATATTTTTGTTGTCATTGATTACAGTTTTATTTAATAACATATTACTTTTTATTGACAATGTTAATATAGATGGTATATTAAAATCCAATGTGTTGATGGACATGCTGATATCTAGGTAGAAGTAATTAAATTTTCTAGCTACCCTTCTGAAGAGTCCTCATTTTATAATGAAAGTATAAAGAAACCAATTAGTTATACTCCATGATAAAACATAAAGAATTATTTTAATAGTAATACAAGAAAAAAACACGCAGTAGAATTTGCAATTGAGAAATATTCTAATTAGAACAATTAAAAAGGTGTTAAACTTAATTAAAATATTCACACCTTAACTATAGGCAACTCAATATACATGTCAAGTGTATTTTTAGTTGCCTATATTAATGTAAATTGTGGCGCTAAAATATTTAATTTAAAATTAATCCTTTTTATATTTACATATTTTACAAAACACAATAACAATAGATATTTATTAAACATATATGATTTAAAAAAACACTTTTTAGTATTTAGCTTCCTCTTCAATGATGAATTTAATTCTAAATCCACTGTAGAATGTTCAATTTAACCATCTAATGGCATCTTGAAGAGGGTGGTTGAATTGAAGTGAAGCTCTCCTTGTCCAAAGATCCTTGTTCCAAAGCAGTACAATATCGCAATCAAAAATTCAATTTTAACAGGAATTAGAAAGGGAATTCTACGTAGGCATCAATAGAAATGAGATTAAGCAGTAAAATAAACAATAACTTAATAACAGAGAAGATTTAGAAATACAATCAATACAGCAGAGATATAATAAATTACATTTAAGAAAATTTAAATTAAGTATACTCTGTATGAGGTATGAAATTATATGTATAATTACAGCTCTATAGAAGTGAAATAAAATGCCTTAGAGAAGTCTTGACATAGCCATGGCACAATAAAAAAATGATACGTTACAAATGATGATTGATAATTCAGAAATACATAAATTAACAGAAGATTTCAAAGAACGAAGAAAATATGAGTGATAAATAAAGAAACAGGGGTATGTAGAATTTAAAAAAATTGCATGAAAATGTGTGATGAACTTATAAAAGTCTCAGAAGAATGACACAAAAAAATTATACAATTATATTAAACGTTCTCCAACCCAGTGTAAGTACATATCAAAGTAAAACCTCTGACGAGGGGTAGGGGACAAATACGATTATATACATTAAGATGTACAAATACAACCAACAGAAGAGTTTATAGAATTGATGAATGTAACATTCCCATAAGGAAGAAAATAACGGGAGACAAATGATGAGAGACATGATGAATTAAAAAAATTGGCATAAAAATGGGAGATAAATTAGGGGAAATGTCATGAAAATATACAAATATATGAGACAGTCATTGGAAGAATGTAATATATAGAAATGATGAAGGATATTCTAATAATAAAGAAAATATGGCAGACAAAAGTAGGGAGAGGTAGGCCAAAAGCAAAATGCAGCAAAAAGTATTAGATGATATTAAAAAATAAAGAAGTATGCGGTCAATAAGAACAGGAAAATTAACAAAAAATTATGCTTAGCTACCTCTAACGAATATGTAGTCAAAATATGACTGAAGTGTGTAAAGAAAAATCCTCCAGATCATATAAGGTCGCCTCCCTTCATCAGATTTAACCCTTGTCCGACGATTAAGCCTCGCCAGTCAGTTCCCATCCCAGCTAAGCAGCCTCGTCTCGGGTCACCCTCGTCACCCATCGAGCGGACATCCACCGGGACCCCCTACAGGCGGACCCCCCTCATCATCTTCCATGTGTCCGATATCCCGCCCCCCCTACTGTCGAGACGTCACGGGATACGTGCACGAAGAAGTCTCGTAGCTTGGGTGCCAGGTCGTATCCGGCCGAAGCCTCTAGCGTTAGAACACCTAGCTCGTAAACCAGAGGGTGGTGACTCCCTTGGGTACCTCTGCATGCTACACAGGTCATCGATGCCCGAACATCAGAGTTAGGGGGGTGACCCGGGTCTCCTCCTCTTAGGGGAGGCTAGTTATGATGTTCTGGAGTCGATGTTACTCAGGAAAATTCATTGGAAAAAATGACAGGCAAGATAGAAGTGACATCGTTAGACGAGACAGGATTTTTAAATAAATGGCGAATGCGCCAGGAATTGACCGGAAATTAAGAAAAATAATACAAATAAAAGAAGACTTATTAAAAAAATATGGGAGTAGTCTCCTAAAAGATAATAAGAAGTGGCCAAAAGCCAAAAATTGGCTCAAATTAAAAATAAATGCTGTTTAGTGGTCATTCAGTGTTTTTATTGTTTTCTGTTTTCCTATTTTTATGTGTAAAGTTACCTTTAGTTATTGTACGTGTGGGACGACCTTAAGATTGAGAGTCGTCTGTCAAAAAAAATGAAAGAAGATGGCGGAACAATAAAGTAGTCAGTAAATACGTCCGCTGTTTTAATACAAGTTTTTAATTGCAATAGTAATACCTCTGAGTAATACTATCAACGAAGAAATAGTTCAATCTTCAACATATTTGGTCCTTCGAGCCGGATAGCTGGGTGAAATCTTCAATTATTTCAAAGATTCAAAGAAAATCCATACTTTTCCGATCAATTTCTATCGTTCAAGGTCGAAGCCGGACGAGTCCATTTGCGCAAGACGATCCAGAATAGGGGAGTTGCGTAGTAAAAGCGGTGCGAAGAGTGGACTGGTCCAACTGCATCGGAAAAGGGGAGGACACATCGACGAAAGCAGAAAAAAAATACGTTTTGAGAGCCGTGCCCGGGATTGGTAAAACGACGACGCAAATTGCCGGTGAGTCCGTTCCTATTTACCTTTATTATCCTTTTCTTTCAACGGGAAGATAGGTTTGCTCCAAGTTCTTATTAATAGGTTTTAATATCAAAATGCAAAACGAGGAGACAAGGGTTCTTTTAGGGAAACGTAGAGTTTTCAAACAACGACATACATTATTTGAAAAATATTTTAAAACCCTAAAGGAATCCTTTCAAGATACTTCGCCTACCGATCGTGAAAGGTTTAAGATTGCTGAATTAAAGTTACGTTTAGAAAAATATGAGAAATTAATACAAGAATACGAGATAGTTCAAACAGAGATAGAGATAAGTTCAGATGATTTAGATACACAAACGTTGGAAAGAGAAACTTTTGAGAAAAATTATTTTAGTTTATTAGTTGAGTGCAAGGAATTCTTAAGCATCTTTGACAAGGTAATTCCAAATTCTCATAGCGAATCGAGTAATTCAAGTAACTTTGATGTAGGCTCAAGTAACAATAATAAAAATGATTTCAATGTAAAATTACCAGAAATAAAATTACCGAAATTTACAGGTTGTTACGATAATTGGTTAGAATTTCGAGATACATTCGATTCACTTATCAATGAAAATTCAAGTATAACAAACATTCAAAAATTTCACTACCTGAGGGCAGCATTGGACGGCGGTGCCATGCAAGTTATTCGTTCTATAGAATTTTCGGCTGACAATTACCAGATAGCGTGGAATTCTTTACTTCAAAGGTATAATAACAATAGCGTTCTGGTAAACAATCATGTCAAAGCCATATTCGAAATGCCCACATTATCTAAAGAGTCAGCAAGTGACTTAAGAAAAATGTTAGATAGCCTCTCTAAGCATTTGTGCTCATTAAAAAACTTAAATCAACCGGTTGAGCACTGGGACACACTTCTTGTTTTTGTATTAAGTCATAAGTTAGACAAATCAACACTTCGAGCATGGGAGCAAGTT